CCCCCCCATGAATTTTGATGAATATTAATTGGTTACATTTCTATGATACGGGTTGATTGGTTATAAGATTTTTCTGGTATTATAGTTGAACCCCAGTTTATAATGTTAAGAAGGTTTGATAGTAAATGAATTTTAACAAATCAGAACCCTTATATAAATTTTGATGAATATTAGATTAATAGATAATAGGTTATCATTTTTATGATACCCCTGATCATAGGATTGTCAATTTTGACCTTAACCCATTTGTTTCACCCAATCTACCCATTTGAGTAGTGGGTTAGTATGGATCAAGTGACCCATTCCAAGCTCTCTGATTTCATTCTTTGCAAACTGCAACCTTTACCTCCATTTCACCATTTGAAAACCTTGCACAAAAGAATCAAAGACTAAAACCACAGCATAGCAACCTTATGTTATGGTGCCTCTAGTCTCCAATCTTTACCTCCACTTTGTTTGAAGTTTGTAGAAATAAAGCTTTTATCTCATTTTCAGGTTTAAAGCTTCTTCTTCTTCTTCTTTCCAATTTTTTCTACGCCTGTCTCGTCTTGCCTTTTAATCTCTATATATCTCTAATTTTTATTTTTTTCATGTATTTTGTTTTCAAATCATAGGGGAATAAAGAAGAGAGTGGTGGCTCCCTTGCAAATTAATTAGGAAACAAATTAATTGGAAAAAAAAGGCCATGACATGTTGTGTTCAAACCACGCAGATGGGATCAAGAAACAATTCCTTGGTCCTCAAACTAGAGAAACCCTTTTCTCCTTTTGATGCGATCCTTTTCCTATCTCCAGTAGGGGTGTCCATGGTTCGGTTAACCAAACCATGACACTTTTTTGTAAACTGAACCGGTGGTACCGGTTTTTCCAATTCTCCAAACCGAAACCGAACCGGTACCACCGGTTAACCGGTCCTCCGATTTTAGTTTTTGACCAATCGGTTTGATTTTTCATTTTTTTTATATTTATAATATATATTATTCAAATATATGTATAATATTATATAATAAATAATAAATGATACATAATATATTATAAATATTTGAAAAAATATATAATATATCTATAAATAAATCATTATAAATATAATATAAGTATATATTTATATATATAATGAATATATATTTATAATATAATACACAAAAAATATGTGACATATATTAAAAATATATATAAAATATACATAAAAATATATATACTGGTCGGTTCAGTTAACCGCCGATTTTTTATAGGTTAATCGAAAATTGAACCAGTCCTACGGTTTTTCAAAAATCCCGAACCGATCGATTTGGTTAACCGCATTTTACGGTTCGGTTTTCTCAATTTGATTCGGTTTTTCGATTTTTTATGGACACCCCTAATTTCCAGAAACTGAAACATATCAACCCTCAAGTTATAATGTTGGAGATCCGCTCGAAGAAGGTTTTCAGCAATCTATAGGATGTCGAAGAAGGAAGAAAAAAATGTTTAATCCTCTAATGCAGTAATGCCCTTGTTTATTGATGGGTTTCACTTATATGGCTGATGGCTGTTACAATTGATCATGGAGTGGTTGACAAGGATTATAATCAATGAGCATCATCATTCTGCATCCATCTAGACATCTTGGTGGCATCGATCCTCTATTCCTTGACAATGTACCAGAGGAGCTATCAATGAGTTGCAATGTACCACATTAATTGATAACTTGCACAGATTGAACATGGATGTTTTCCAAGTCAAATATGTTTGAATGGTTGTCAACTGTGAAGGTCACAAGGGAAGAGTCTACAGTGCAGCCCATGAAGTGGTGATTGGCTCTATTGATGGTTGAGATAATGAGGTCTTGTACAGAGAGTTCTTTGTTCCAAACGCAGGTGAGAGTAAATCAATTGTCTGGTGTATGAGTGGTGACTTGTACAAAGTGAGAATGACTAGTGACATGGCTGCTTGGAGCAATGTATTTACCCACTTCCTCAATGAGGGATGTTCCTATCATAGTAGTGACAATGGTGATCACCGTATCATATTGATCCATCATCATCCCTTTGAGGATTAGAGACCCCGCAGTCGCTATATCAATGGAGCCTATAGGTTTTGAAGCCACATCCCGCCCGTAATGAGCTGAAGTGACTGAACAACTCGGTTATTGGTGCACCAACAACAGGAGTGACTCCTCCGATGCTCATCGTTGGTTCAGTCGGGATTTTCTACTCATTTTTCCTATCCATTCTCTATCCGCCGTGAATCTCTGTTAAGTGGGCTAGGATATGTTCCTAACCCTTTTCGAGTCTATTAAGACAAGCTTCAAGCTGGGACTAGACCTTTTCATGGGCCGGGTCGGGCCGGGCTTTCACTCTATATTAATTGATTTTTCTAAGGCCCGAGCCCAAGTCCGGCCCTCATAAAAAGCCCGAAGCCCGGGCCTGGGCCCGAGCCCGAAATTTATCCCATGTTGTTACTACTGCTGAAGTGGCTGAATAGAGAGAGAGAGTGAGAGAGAGAAATTATAAAGAAAAAAATAAAAAAATGTATATATTAAATTATAAATATATGTATTTCAATAAATATTATATTATTTATATATTTTATATAATATATAAAATACATATTATATATTTTATAAAATATATAATGCTGTCGGGCCGGGCTGGGCTTTATTGACAAATCCCGAGCCCGGCCCGTAACACAGTCGGGCTTATTGTGTTAGGCCCGAGGTCAGACCCGCGGGCCTAATTACATGACCAAGCCCGACCGGGGTGCGGGCCGGGCCATCGGGCTACCCAGCCCATGAACAGGTCTAACTGAAACATTCTCATGCCCTAGGCTCATCAGTTTGGAAGGAGTATAAATACAAATATGTATTGTGCAAATACATACAAAATAATGTAAAAGACAAGCTTTTACACTCTATGTATTTGTATTTGTACTCCTTCCAAACTAAGTCCTGGGAATTGATTTGCTTTGATACCATTTGATGCAATCCTTTTTCCCATCATTAACCTGAGCCCGGATATCCTGCACATTTATTCCTACACATTTTCCTGCAGAATCTTTTATGGAACAAGCTGGTATGACATGCCCAATAAACACAAAGGTCCATAACAGTATAACACCTTCTTCCCTATTCAATGCCACCATAAAACCACCAACTCCCCTTTAAATTGTTCTCTTCCTCAACACATTCAAGTCTATTATCGACAAGAATTTTCCCTTTCATCATATCACCATGTCTATTTCCGGTATCCTTAATCCAACCAATCAATGATTCAAATTCTTCAACTCTTTCTTTCAATTTTTACTCTCTTTCTCTCTCTCATCAAGCTAAAACCCTTCATCCCTTTTGTTAAGCTCTACAATACTCACAAAACTATTCAAGCTTCTTTGACCTCGAATGAGAAATTACAAACCAATGGTTCTAATAGTAGTCCCCAAGGAGCAAAGCACCTCTTTGCCATTGGAGTGACTGTTTAATTCTTCATTCCGAAACTAGTTGAGG